AGTTATCATCCCGATTTGACATTAGCCTAAGCCAATATCACATTCGCCTGATTAATTCTGAATTGTACTCTAGATCAACCTAATCTTAGATTCACCTGGTGTTTTCAGTCCAATGTGACATTGAAGTAGCGCTTTCATTTTGGGCGCTAACATATGTATACAATTCTTTTCTTTTTTTCTCGTTTTATCTACTCTATATATGACACAAAGTATGATAAAACCACGTGGATCATACTCATATACTACGGTAACAGAAGAAGAGAGGAACACATCAAAAGATAAGAACAATCAAGGTAATTTAACTAGTGTTTTTTCAAGAAAAGTAACCATCCTCGTTTGATGAAACGGTAAAACTGGAATAAAAATGGAATTAACACGAACGGAATTCGAACAAATGTTAGAAACGACATGTCAGTCGGTATTAAAGTATTTATTTGACAGAAAATTCACTCCGGTTCAGCGTAAAATTACACCTGAAGAACAACAAGACAATAGTGAATTAACAATATCAAAACAACCGACAAATCAATCTTTACAGGAATTATTAGATCGAATAATGACTGCTGCTGAATCCGGTAGAAATTCTCGTCATCCCGGTTACATGCAATATATGCCAAGTGGAGGTTTATTACATTCAGTGTTATCTGATCTTGTTGGTAAGTGTTTGAATAAATATACAGGATATTATATGGGAGCGCCAGATCTAGTTGATCTAGAATGCAAAGTTATAAGATGGTTGTGTTCAGTTTTTGATTTGGATTTGGATTCTGGGGCATTTGGAATATTAACAACAGGTGGAACAGCATCCAACTTATCGGCTGTCTTGATGGCTCGAGATAAGCTTTTGCAACCAAATATATTTCATCTGGGCTGTGTCTATTGGACGAAACAAACACATGCGAGTTGTATAAAATCATGTCGAATAGCTGGCGTTGCACAAAATGTTCGTATCATCCCGCACAAACCCGCAAATTCAGATGAAGCCTTTACAATTGATTTAGACGAATTGGAAAAACAAATTCAAGATGATCATCGTTCAAACTTGTGTCCATTTTTAATTGTTGCCAATGTTGGTTCAGTTGATACAGGTGCAATCGATGATATTCAAGGTTTATCACTATTGGCAAAAAAATATCAACTATGGTTACATGCTGATGGTGCTTATGGTGCATATTTTGCTTTGGTTGAGCCAATCCCCAAAGCCCTCGAGTCTCTCAATTTATGTGATTCAATCAGTGCAGATTTACATAAATCGTTTTTTCTACCGCTCGGCACGGGTTTTTTTAGCAGTGAAACGAAAACAAGACCTGTCAAAAACATTTCATAACAATTATTCTGCTTACTCCACTCATATTGAGGGTGGTTCAGATGTAAATTTTGCTGAATTGTCATTGGAACTAACGCGTGAAATAAGAGGATTGAGAGTTTGGTTACCGTTAAAGTTACTTGGTTCGAACACATTTGCATTGTGTTTGAAAGAAAAATTAGATTTAATACAATATTTACATAGTGAACTGGAACAAATTCCAGGTATTGTTATCATTAGTAAACCTGTCTTATCCATTCTTACATTCAGACATATTCCGAAAATATTGAGACATTTATTTGAAAAAGAGCAGCGAGTTGTCCAAGATGCAAATGTTGAATCTCAATTATTAGCACATAATACACAGTTACTATCATCTATCAATAGTCGTGGTCGAGTTGCATTGCATTCAACAAAATTATATTTGAATCATGATGATGAACAAGCAGTTATGGTTATTCGCATTGTTGTACTCAGTTATTTGACTCATCGAACACAAGTGGATCAATGTATCAGCGATATAAAAGACAGTTGTATGACGATTGACACACAGACTGTTGCATCCATGTGATACTATTATCCTTTCGGTAAAAGTATTAGCCCTAGTTTATCTTTCAGCATACTTCGCTTCAAGCTCCCTAGCAGGCATCAGTTAGACGCAAAAAACTGAAAAAAAAGTAAAATTAGAATAAAAACAAAACAAAATAAAGATTATATTATGATGTTTTTACTTCCAAACTGGTATTTTGATCAGTTTCAAATTTTAAGTTAATTTTCAATTCTTCATCTGTTTTAGTCTAAAAGAAACAAAAACAATAAATAAATACCAAACTTAAATTCCTTCATTGAATACGGGAAATTGTTAATTACTGTTTGTGCTAATTAAAGTTGAATATTAGTAATCTGTTGTCGGTAACCTTCATCTTCTTTATTTAATATTTCAATTTGAATTGAGTGGTATAAATAGAAGAAACAAAGTTGAACCAAAGACAGAGGGAAAGAGAGAGTGTCTACTTAAGAATACCGCCTTCTTTCTTGCCCTCCACGACCTTTCTTGAAAGAGTTATGAGTCTAGACATTTACTATACTGCGCCCCTAACTTTAGGTCGAAATCAACTTACAAATATATAAAAATCTATAAAAGAAGACAACGAAAAATATGAATGATCTCTCTTCTCCTGGCATTATCTGTTCGACTTTCCAATTCATTCCATTAAATCTCCTACACTCACACTGGATGAAATGAAGTGAAATTATAACTCTACTTATAGATATCGTTTTTTGCACATTCAGTATATTTTAGTACAAATATTCAGCAGAAATTTTAGCGTTTTATTTCCTGTGAATGTTTATGACTTTCCTACAAAAATTTCTTTTATGCTCTCACTTTAGCTCCACAAGAATTAAAAGTAAGTAACACACTGAAACGGTCATACAATCACTCGGCTAATGATTAGCTGAACATATAAGCACAACAGGCGTGTATACTTCTAATGGCAACGTATATCAAACAAATCAAAACTAAATCTACACTAAGCTGTTATAAAGCAGTTATTTACGATTACGGTTTTGACCGGTTACGGCTAACGGTTAATAACCGTAACCGTTGTATGCCTATCATCGGCTGCGTTTGATCTTGTTGAACCAATTCGAAATAACCATATGCTGCTTTGCCATTTTTCAATAAATGTTTCGGTGCACTTCGTTTCTGAATTGAGCAGCGCTGGCAGGTGATTGTATCTTTTCGTATTTCGAAGCATTTAATTAAGGGAACATTGCAAAATGTATTCCGGTCGGTCGGTCGGT